ACAAGGACCTCATGATCTTGAGAGCAGCCGAATCGAAAGCGGCATACAAAGCAATCGGAGATGAATGCAAGCGTGTATTGAGGTCGAAGAAAGTAGCATATGAAGAAAATCTGGTGCAAAACGTTGATAGCCAGCCTAATCGTTTCTATTCATTCCTGAAAAGAAAGATTCATGCAAGCCCGGCATTCAACGTCTCCACAATACAGTTGAGTTATGTATGGCTGAATTCTTAGCTGAACAATACTCCACTGTCTACTTGTCACCAGCGCCCGACAATGAAGTCTTCTGTTATAACGGTGGCCAAAAGCTGCGATATTCCAGTCCTGACCGAACTGAATGTGGCATCATAATTGCCATTGAAGATGTGGAGAATGCACTAAGTAGATTGATGCTTACTAAGGCCGCTGGACCCGATAATTTGAATCCCAGGGTTGTTCGCGAGTTTGCTTGTATAATTGCACTGAGCATTAGAGAACTGTTTCTTTGTACGCTAGCACTGCCACGGTACCACATGACTGGAAACAGAGTCTAATAACTCCGAGATACAAAGGTGGTGACTGTTTTCTGTCCCATAACTATCGACTAGTCAGCCTGACTTCGGTATTTGTGAAAATTCTGGAAAACTTAATATGCCGCGAAATCGAGGCCCATATTGGTCGAGCCACAATCCTGCCGATAGAACAACACGGCTTTGTCAAAGGCAAATCGTGCACTACTAACCTCATGGTGGCACGCGAAGCTTGTTGCGAAGCGGAAGAAAAATGACTACCGGTTCATGCGGCCTTAATCGACCTCAGCAAGGCATATGACAAAGCCGATCACGAGCTCCTACTGACCAAACTCAGTAATAGACCCATCGCAAGAGATATAGTCAAATGGATAAAAGGGTACCCGTTCCGTAGACAATGCGGCGTCAGAAACGGTGAAGGGTGCTCTTCTGCGTATGAGGCTCGTAGTGGCGTAGCCCAAGGGTCGGTGCTGGGTCCCAGACTATTTTCATTTACGCTGCGGATATCCCATCAAGACTTTCGTCCCCATGCTTTCTGTCTGCGGAGGAATTCAAGGTATGGAGTGTTATACGTAGCCCCAAAGATACAATGACTTTCGAAAATGATCTTAATGTGATCCATGAATGAGCATTGGAGATCAATATACCGGTCAACGTAAAAAAATCACACTTGCTGATAATTGGAAGAAACCGGGTCCACCCACCCTATAGTTCTTCTCCCAGCGGGTCATTGATGAATGGAATAAACTTCCTGCCTCGGTTGTTCTTGCTGAAGCATTCAAAAGAAGGCTTGATCTTACGCTGCTTGCTGTTCATACATTTGGAAGACAACAACAATTTATATAGCGTATATATGACTTTGAACAATATGCATGATCTGACAGCATCTATCTGTAAAT